ATAATTAATTTCCTCAAAAGTATACTTGTATTTTCAAAACGTAACACTTTTTTTTTTGAAAATTTATTTTCAGAATTTTATTTTTAAATAAAAGTTACTTAATTTATTTATAAACTGAGACATTATTAATTATAAAATATTGTGAGTATATTTAAAATTGGGACATTTCTGTTTCTATTTTAGTTTTTAGACAATACTTTTTTTTATTGAAAGTGGTCATTCAAAGTTCTAGAACATTGTCTTCACAAAGTCACACCATATTCTTTTCTATTAAAAAATTGTATGATTTCATTTAGGTTTGATATGCTTGTGATCTTTCTAATCGATACTTTAGTATAAATATTTTTAATTTGAATTTATCTATTAAATAACTTAACAGACACGCATATGTAATTTTTTTATTATATCCAATAAAAAAGTTAAAAAATATTTTTTAATAAATTAAATAACTGAACATTAATATTTATTTTTAGCCTGAGTTAAATACATTAACTAAATTATTTCCTATATGATGTTAAAAGCTATTGTAATTAATTTATATTTACTTATTAACTAATTAAAAAAAATCAAGATAATTATAAATGAGATTAATTGTTATGTACCGTCAATATTATAAGTTTTACACTGTAATACATCACAACTATCCGTTGGTATTATTTTTAAGTGGTTAGAAAAAAAAGTCAAAACATTTAAATAAATCAGTAATTGAGATCAACTGACTATGTAAAAGATCTTTACACTGGCAGTGTATATCAATTAAATTTATTATAAATATTTTCTTCTATTAATCATATATCAATTCCCTCAAAGCCATTTTCAAAAATCACTAGGGTTGAATAGACCAATTTTTTTAAAGTCATTTTCAAAACTCGTTCCATTTATAAAATTAGAGTTTTACAAATAAATGCGCAGATTACAAGTTCTGATGTCAATTGTTAATATTATTGGAACAAATTATAAACAAAAACAAATGATAACAACAATTTTGTAAAACAACGATTAAATGGATATTTTGGTTAACCCAAATTATCAAAAATCGACCCAACTTAAAAATATGAATTTGCTTAAACAAACAATTCAACAATTATCATAATTTAATTTTCACACAAAATTCAAATTGAATTTGATTAATCGAATGATCAATCTATCAACAAGAATTCATACATTAATAATCACAAGAGAGAATGTTCAAATGATCAGATCTATCACAAACCTAAACTTTAATCACGAAATCGTATAAGAAAATAAATCCTAACAACATGTTTTTCTATGAAAGAATACAAACCCAAGCATGCCAACTATACAAAAAATGAGAGAGAGAGAGAGAGAGAGAGAGAGAGAGAGAGAGAGAGAGAGAGAGAGAGAGAGAGAGAGAGAGAGAGAGAGAGAGAGAGAGAGAGAGAGAGAGAGAGAGAGAGAGAGAGAGAGAGAGAGAGAGAGAGAGAGAGAGAGAGAGAGAGAGAGAAGAATTGAAAATTATTTTCTTCCACTATAAAATTATACGAAAGTTGTTTACATAAATTACACAGCCATTTGATACAAGATATTCATGAAAAATGTCTAAACTTTTTATATTGATCCTCTATTGTTGTATATAACATCTTATTTTCCAATCTTGCAAGATCCATCTGATCTCGACATAACTCTTCCAAAAATAATAATTGTGTCAAGCCTCCGTTCTGCAATAACTTTTACTCGACCCTACCGGTCCCTTGAACATTGATACGTCTAAAGAACAAAGAAACTTCGACTTTGTATGTAGGATTTCACACATCACTACTAAAGAAGCCTATAGAAAAGACATCTTATTTTTCGTGTTGGATTTCAAAACTCCAACAACACCATACAATCTTAATATTGACCTACAACTCAAAAACTTCAAAATATCAACAAAGAATGAACCTCCTCTATGACAGATCTCATATTCTCTAAGAATTGAGAAGCAGTTGATGTTAATCATTCTAGAGGTTGAAGATGAATTTAGATGCAAAAGATAGAAGTGAAAATGTGTTCTTGAAAAGTACATTTCCATGTTTTTAGAAAAACTTTTAAAGTCATGATTATTATCATAATAATTGTTGAATCTTAATGGTGAGCGAGATAGGAAAATAATTTATATAGGTGCTTTAGATTATTCACAAAACAAAATGAATGAAAAAATGATGTTTGATTAGATTCATAAGCACATGTATGATTTGAGTCATAGGACAAAGTTATTTGGATTAAGATCTAAAACATATGAGATTCTGTGATTTGACCCATGATTCGAGTCATGAAATTTTTTATTTGAATCAAACAAGTTAGAAGGAAAAACATGGGAATGTATCACTTAATGATTTGATTCATGAAATCAATGATTCAAATCACATAGTTCTATGAGTCAAATCAAGTGTAAATTGTGAGTCGAATCATGACAGTTTCATAAACTTCCTAAAAGCCTCTGTTTCATTTGACTCAAGTCATAGGATGAATCACCCACCTAACATTTTTTTGGTAGTTCTAATGGTGCTTTGAGATTATAATAATGTCATGACTTAAATCATTCTCAAATATCGTTCTTGATCCAAAAACTCGACTAATTGACTTAAAGCATATTGTTTACACTAAAAAACAAACATTTTGATTTATGCATGCAAAAAATGATTTAATGCAAAATACCATTTAAAAAGCGCATTCAATTCTAAGATATTTGCATAAATCTAACTAAAGGAGACTTAATTACGAAAGTGATAAATGATAAATGATAATAAACTAGACAAACAACAAAACCAAAGTCCTAGAGGGCTCAATAACTTCATATTTATTTTGTGACGCTTTTAGTGATAAATTCTGAATTTTAACTATGAATCTTCATCTTATTCATCTTATGCGATTGATTTAGCATTTAAACTATCAATCTCTATTTAGTTAATTACTATAAAAGTGTCAAAACTCCCATAGAACACTTCATGTCAACATCTTTATCACTTGGTATGTCATGTCATCCCCGTCAACAGAAATTATCTAGACAGATCATTAGTGCGGATCAAAAATTTAAAAAGACAAAAATCTGAAGGAAATTTTTAGAGACTAAAATTGAAATAGTGTAGTTCCAGTTGGATTGATCCTTTGGATTAACTACATTTTAGTAAACAACAACTTGGAAAAGTGTCAAAGTGATCAAGATTGGTCTAGTTTGCTGAAGCTGTGTGGAACTGAAAAAGGAACACATGTTGGTCGCGATGCTCGAACATGTTGCTACGACATCTGGATTTTGTGCAACAGGCACCAGATTGCGCGTTTTAACATAATCTTTTTAGAAGATTCAATTATGTTTTATTGCTATTGGTTTAGTAGTATGATTATATGATTTGTTGGAAAATTATGAAGATTAAATCAGATTTAAGAGGGATTTAAATTTGAATTTGTAATGAATTAAATTGTATCTTTTTGTTGGAGATATTCAAGGAGCAAATCAAATATCCAATTGATTGTGCAAAGATTACGTACAATAATAATTGAAGATTCATAAGAAAAAAGCTCAGAGTTATTTTTCTATATAAAGAGCTCAAACCTACATTGGAAAGCAAGCATTCTCATTTAACATTTTAGATTGCTATGGTTTACTAGAGTCCTTGTTATTTTTTATGTACACCTACATGTTTCAGTAACATGACATAAAAGGTTTGTCTAGTTGAGTTGTAATATTCAACATTCTTTAACTTGTTTAGATTGAAGTTGATCACCAGAGTTTAATGGTTTTTTACCCTTTCACGGGTTGTGTGACAGAGAAAAAAGTGAGTAAGTTCTCATGTTGAAGGGGAGACTTTAAATAGAAAGTCATTAGGTAGTGTTAAGAAGAGGCATTGAACATAGGATTTGTTGTTGCTTGTAAGTCTAATTGTACTAAGTTACTAATAGTGAATTTTCTTTCTTGGATTCGTGGAATCAGCCCCCAGACGTAGTGTAGAGTTTCACCGAACTGGATAAACAATTGATTGCGTTCTTTATTGTTTTTCTACTCCATCATCTAATACTTGTTAATACTTCTGATATATCTTGTTGAACCGTTTATCAAAACATCGAGCTTAACATTTATCCCATAAAAAATATAATTTCAAATATGATATATAAAAAGGCCACAAACTTATTTAATTCTTTTTTTTAACAAAAACCTAAATTATTTAAGATAATTTTAGCGATAAAATTCACCATTCTATAATTGTTTTTTTTTTATATAAATATGGAATCAAATAACAATATCACTATTATTAGTTATTTCTATAACCAAATATCAGTGTTTTATATTTAAATATTAATTTAAAAAATTATAAAATTTAATAAATATATTATATTTAAAACTTTTATAATTATTAATTATAAATATTAATAATTTTTTTACAACAATACATTATAAAAAATATTTAAAAAAATAATTATTGTTAGTGATTTAACACTGAGTCAATAATTTAAACCTATTTCGAACAACCACGTCTAACACATATCAATACAAATTTATTTAAATTGATAGCGAATAGTTAGATCTAAACCAGGTCCATACTTTAATTTTTTTTTAATAGTTATAATAATAATTAATATTATTTTGATAAATAACTTTTTTTCAATTTAAAAAAATATATTACTCATACAAAAGAGAGCTAGTTTATGCTTTATTACAGAGATTTCCAAAATTACAACAATAATTAGATTCACGTATCATACTCAATAATAATAAAAATAATAATAATAATAATAATAATAATAATTATTATTATTATTATTATTATTATTATTATTATTATTAATATTTATTTTTTTTAAAAAGTACAAACTTTGCGTGACGTATACTTTAGATCATCATATTTTAATGATGAATTAGAAAAATATTCTTATAAATGTGTATTCACTTTGTCCTTCACTTTCCACCTTCTACATTTGTATTCTTTTTATAGACAAACCAACGCACACTTCACAACTCATTCACGCTTTCATTATTCTCTTCTCTCCTCTCTCCCACAACCATGCCTTCCACTCATTTCCTCACTTTCTTCTTCTTCTTTCTCCTCTCTTCCAACACCATCACTTCTGATTTTGTTCGTCCTATAGACCGCAAATTGTTTGACCTACACAAGAAAGAAAAGCTAAGTCATTTCAAATTCTATTGGCATGACATAGTAGGTGGAAAAACCCCATCTTCAATCATGGTTGTTCCACCACCTTTGAAACTAAACACAACCACTGGTTTTGGCTTAGTTCGCATGATTGATAATCCTTTGACTTTAGGACCACAGTTGAGTTCCAAACTTGTTGGAAAGTCTCAAGGCTTCTATGCTTCTGCATGTCAAGATGAGGTTGGTTTGCTTATGGTTATGAATTTCGGTTTCGTCGAAGGAAAGTATAATGGGAGTAGTATATCTATCTTGGGGAGGAATGCTGTTTATGATAAGGTTAGAGAGATGGCTGTTGTTGGTGGGAGTGGACTCTTCAGATTTGCTAGAGGCTATGCTCAAGCTACTACTTACTCGTTTGATCTTAAATCTGGAGATGCTGTTGTTGAGTACAATGTTTATGTTTTTCACTATTGATTTTTAGATTTGTGTTGTTAGGTTTTTCAAAAGATTATGTATTTGGTTGTATGGTGTTTGTTAGATTTGGATTTATTGAGGTTATTAATTTAATAAATTTGTAGTTGTTGTAAGCAATTGATATGGTTACTACATTGACATATCAAAGCCTTTTTCTATTTGAGGGTTTGCTTGTGAAGCATTGCTTTTCCTTATTTTTGGAATCCATATTTGTCTTCTTTTAAAAAGTCTTCTTGATATTGATTTGTGTCCTCGCTGAAGAAAAATAATCTATGACTATCATTATTATTATTTTTAATAAAGGTCAATATATTGAGAAAAGAAAAATGTCTAAAAAGGGGAATAAGTTAGGCTCAGAAGCTACGAGAGAAATTAAAAAAAAAAAGGTAAATCTAACTTTTTTTTTTAAAAATTCTTAATTTTTTAAGGAATGGAATAAAAAAATGTGGTAATGTTGATGTCAAGCGTATAATTTGTCAAAAAGTTGGCACTGAGAGTTATCTAAATAAAAATTCCACCGTCCTCTGAATATCTAAGGAACCAAATTCGGATTGGAAAAAGTTTTAGCCATTAAGAAAGAGTCGGTTCCGATCAAAAGCTTAGACCAATCTCTAGATATAAAAATCTCCATGGCTTTGATAACAACTCGAAACTCAGCAAGAAGACAAGAGTCACAGTAGAGGTGCTCCACAAAACCCAAAACTAAATTCCCATTGTAAATCCTAAACAGACCACCACCCCCTGCAGTATTCGAACCATGGGCGAAAGCTCTGTCGCAATTGCGTTTATGCCATCCAAAAGAAGGAGGAGCCCAAATAACCTCTTGAATAGAAGGAGCATTTAGGGCATTATGGAAACGTTGAAAGCCTTAAGGAGGGAGTAGTCCTTCATGTTGATGAAAGAAGGTCTAGCTGAAAGATTACCCAAAAACTGGAGTTGTTGCATAATCCATTTCTTAGATAACACAACATTGGCTTTAAGTTTCCCATGCTTCACATTGTTCCTTGTCTGCCATATGTGGTAAACGGTATTAAAGACAGTTGCATCAGTAACAAGAATTTTTTACACAGAAAATTAAATACTAAATTGTCACAAATTAAAAAAAAAAAAGCGAAACTGCCACTATTACAAGAAGGATTTGTCCATTGGAAGGACGACCCTATGAAGAGTGTTTTCATGCTGTATAGGTTCGGTCATTCATTGGCCGATCCTACACTGCGTGGTTTTTTTTTTGTTTTTTTGTATTTTAAAAATAAATATATATTATATTTTATTATTTTATTTTTTAAATAATTTTTTATATATTAAAATTATTTAAATGATATTTTAATATTAATAAATATATAATTTAATTATTTTAAATAATTTTTTAATATTAATAAATATTTTTCACATTATCTAATTAATTTTTTGTATATATTAAAATTATTTAAATGATATTTTATATTAATAAATAAAAATTTTAATTATTTTAAATTATTTTTTAATATTAGTAAATATTTTTTACATTATCTAATTAATTGTTTTTATATATTAAAATTATTTAAATGATATTTTATATTAATAAATAAATAATTTAATTATTTTAAATAATTTTTTAATATTATTAAATATTTTTCACATTATCTAATTAATTGTTTAACTAAATAATTATATAAAATAATAAATTAAATCATAAATAAAAGATATTTTATTAATATTTATGAGTGAAGAAAATACATCATTTTTTATTTGTCGTAATGGTGTTGCTATTTTTGCATGGAGAATGTTATCCTCATCGGATGGTCTGGCATTAATATTTTTGCATTTATCTTCACAAGTTGTTGTTTCAATTTTTATTTTTTGACTTAATAATTTTCATATGTTTTACTGATCATTTTGCTTAAATATTTTCATCTACAGGATATGCACTAACAGAGGTAACATTTACAGGGGCGAATTACGAAGAATAGATAGAGCAGCTTTGGAGTGGATTGACAATATTCCCAGAGAGAAGTGGTCGAGGGCGTTCGATGGAGGACAGCGGTGGGGACACATGACCATAAATTTGGTCGAATCTATGAACTCGGTACTTAAGGCTACCCGAAACCTTCCTATTACAGCATTGGTCAAGTCAACGTAATATCGTCTGGGATCGCTGTTTGGAAAACGAGGACACGATTGGACAAAAATGTTGGCATCCGGTCAAACTTTCACGCAAAACTGTAACAAGGGAATAGCCGACGAGGCGATTAAATCTAGCAGCCATAATGTCATTCAATTTGATCGCGATAGATTCTGTTTTATGGTTGCCGAAAGCATTAATCAACGCGATGGCCGACCATTAGGTACTTTTAGTGTTGATCTCAAGAGAGGGTGATGCGATTGTGGGAAGTTCCAGGCATTTCATTTACCTTGCTCCCATGTAATCGCAGCATGTGCCAGTATACGACAGGACCATAACATGCACATACCAGATATTTTCAAGGTTCTAAGTGTATTCAAAGTATACAGCCAAAGCTTCCTTGGACTTCCACACCAGCAAAATTGACCAACATATGAAGGATTCACTATTTGCCATGACGAGACAATGCGAAGAAATAAGAAAGGGCGTCCAAATAGTACAAGAATTACAACTGAAATGGACGATTTTGAGAAAGAAAAGAGAAGATGTGGAATTTGTCGAGAAATCGGTCATATGCGGAGAAAATGTCCGAACGTGGCAGGCCCATCAAATCGGCCTAGATAAGAATGATGTATTTTCTCCACTCATAAATATTAATAAAATATCTTTTATTTATGATTTAATTTATTATTTTATATAATTATTTAGTTAAAAAATTAATTAGATAATGTGAAAAAACATTTAATAATATTAAAAAAATTATTTAAAATAATTAAATTATTTATTTATTAATATAAAATATCACTTAAATATTTTTAATATATAAAAAACAATTAATTAGATAATGTGAAAAATATTTACTAATATTAAAAACTTATTTAAAATAATTAAATTATTTATTTATTAATTTAAAATATCATTTAAATAATTTTAATATATAAAAAATAATTTAAAATATAATATATATATATATATATTTATTTATTTATTTATTTATTTATTTATTTATTTATTTTTGAAATAAAAAAATAACAACAAAAAAATCACGTAGTGTTGGGTCGGCCAACGGATGGCAGAACCCCAACTAGAGAAAATGAAGCTTCATTGGGTCGTCCAACCAATGGACGAACCCTAGTTAAAATTGTGGCAGATTTGAATTTTTTTTTCAACTTGTGGCAGTTTGGTGTTTTAATTTTCAGTTTGTGGCATTTAGGTAAAAAATTCCCAGTAACAACAGCAGTCTGGGAAGAGGGCCTACTGGAAAAGATCAACAAGGTATGCAACTAGTCCCAAAGATCCACCGAGAAACCACATTCAAAAAACAAATGTGAGAGGCTTTCAGAGGCAGTGCATCAAAGAGTACAACGAGACGCCAAATAGACGCCTTTTGCCATTATGATATCCTCAGTGGGGAGCTTGTTGTGAATCATACGCCATATGATCAAAGATCTACTATGAGGGATATGAGAGTTCCATAGAGCTTTACTCCAAGGTATTTTGGGCATACGATTAGATTTGAAAGATTAAGTTTCTTTAAGGTCCAAAATACCATTGTCATTCATTTTACAAAATAGAAAATCAACATCATTGTTAAGCTGTAAGTAGTACTTATCAATTAAGAACTACAAAAACGGGAACCAAACAAACTAGACAGGTGGAATGCTCCAAAAATCCTGCTACATCAGATCTAAAACCAGAATATTGGGGTTAATATATTTATGGACAAGAATTTTCAAACCAATGTCGTGTATGAACGGAGCACCAACCCAAGATTCTTTCAAGAAGCGAATATTTTGACCAAAGCCAATGGACCAACAAGAATTGTGGAACATTTTTAGAACCTCAACCTTTATACTAGTCAGAATAAAAGATGAAATATGATGCGAAATGAACCCATGAGCCCCAAGAATGGAGTTATAATCTCCAATAAGACACCAAGCTATGATGAGTGAAGAAGTGCAGAAAGAAAGCTCTTTCTAAAGAGGTTTTATTTTGATGTGGCAAGTAGAGGCGTAAACAGCAGCAAAACCAAAAAGGGTGTTATCAACCTGGACAGTAAAGGAAACATGTTGGTCGGAAGAACTTTAGATACGGGGGTTAAGGTTATGATTACAAGTACACCAAATATTAGGAAGCAGTAAATTCCTATTATTCACAGCAAACAGTTTTGAGTTAAGACGATTCCAAAAAGACTCAGAAATCAGGTTTGTGTTGTTTTAGAAAATATTTAAGAGATAACTTTGAAGGGGATTTAGCAAGACCCATAATATTCTAGAAAAAGCAGTTAATTTAGAAGACGTTTTAAGACCAGAAAAAGATCTGGTGCCAAAAGCCTCTTTGGATTTCAAGGTTTGTTTCCTAATGCTCTTCTTTTAGGATTTGGTTAGGATAGGTTGGAAAAACTGGTTACCTACATCATTATCCTTGTCTGAATGATATGCCTTGTTATCCTAGGATTCCTTTAGGAATTACTCGTTATTAAGGTGCACATCATCATTGTGAGTAATGGTCAAACTCCATTGAATTTCATCCCCAAAATCTTCTAAATCATAGATACTATCATCATCAGAGATAAGTATAATACCATCATGGGAGAGTTCAATTAGAGGAGTAGAAACCTACTTCTCTTGAAAAACAATTATGTCAACTTCAGCAATGGGGGAAAGAGCTTTTAAAGGCATAACTTGGGTATATAAGGGAACACCACTAGAATCGCCTCTTAAACAGGTTTGTTTTTTTATTCACATCCAGAAAATTATTATCCATGTCTCTGCAGGGATTGTGACTTGGAACATTTGGGGGTCTTTGACAGGTTCAACTCTTTTAGTATTGAGATTTTACATTTTATCAGTGATGTTTTCAAAACATTTTCTTTTTCAAAGACCTTTTATTTTCA